TCAGGCGTGTGCGTTCTAATCTCTATATTATACCGTTGGGAAGTATACCATCATATTATAGCATGGTGGTGATGGTGGTGGTAATGGTGGATGGTGGTGTTGTATGGTCGGTTTGTATGGTGAAGAGAAAGAGGAGAAGAAGGACGATGACGACCGGATGCTGTTAGATATGATTTTTACGAGTGTGCGTTGGGACAAACCGGCTGTGCGTAAAACAGGGCGCATAAGGGCCTAAGAAGAAACCTTATGAGTTACACGTGCGAGGGAAACGTGACTACGAATCCTCCACCCCTTTTTTCCTTTCTTTTATTTTTCTTTTTTCTTTCTTTTTTTGTTTTTCTTTTTCGATTTCCTCTTTTATTTTTATTTTTCGAGAACAATCACGTTAGACGTGAAGGGATAGATATTTATTCAATTTTAAGACCAATTTTTGTAATATAATAAATGAATACAATATTTTAATTAGAAAATTTAAAATTTTAATTTTTGTAAATAAGAAATTTATTGAAAATTATTCCTAGAAAATATTTTGGAGATTTCATATAAATTTTAGGATTAAAATTGATGAAATTTAAACGTCGTTATTGAATTTGAATTAGCATAAAAAAAAGAAATGGTAGTAAGTATTTGAAATTTGATTGGGACTGATTAAAAATTCATAGATTATACGAAGAGAATTAAATGACGAAAGGAAAGTTGGTAAAATATATTCGCGTTCAATTTGAACTTTCCTTATGTTAGATTCTAAGAGTGTGGCACGCGAGCTGTGACTATAATATGCATTCGGTCACCGTTCCCTTGGTGGCCCACGTAGTTGCATTCTTGGCTCGATCTGGGCGCCGAGATGTTATTGGAATCTTTGAAATATTCGGCTTTGCCCGATCCCACCTATAGAAGAGACTAAAGTTTGCTTTTGCGAAATGTTTCGAGTACGTTTCGTGCGTTTCGAATATGAACGAACGTAACACGGGAGAATTCCCACCCGTGTCTCGATGTTTCTAAGTAATTTTCAAGGCTAACATATTCGATGAAAAATTCATGATTTTTACAAAATTATATCATTTTATATGCTAATTATTTTCAAGAATATATGCTAATTAAATATATATATATATATTAATTTATTATATTTGTCCCAATTTTTTTTTATATTCGTGTTTATACGAGATTTCACGGATTGAATTTTGTAATTAATTATTCATTGACTATAAGATTCGAGTATAATTAAATTATAAAACAATTTCGAAAGTGAAAATCTGTAAGAATCGTGTCGAGTAAGCGAATAAGAGAATAGATTTATCGAGTTCACGATAGTTGTCGAATCAATCAATTTGCGTAAGAAGAAATATCGTGGCACAGAGATTCATCATTTCCCCATCGATCATCATTTCGATCATCGTTTGGACGTTGAACGTGTGCATCTCGCGAATAAATGGTGGGGTATGCATAGGTGAATAATATTCCTTGGGTTAAAGGTTACAAGTACAAAAATAAAGAAGATCAAAGCAGCACGCCGATTTGCGATTGGTGATATTGGAGATCGGTTTACGATCGACAGATTTCGTCCTCGAGATAATAAAATTCAATATTGCATCCTTCTCTCTCTCTCTCTCTCTCTCTCTCTCTCTCTCTCTGTACTTTTTCCTTATTCTTTTTCTTTCCGAATCGAGAAGGGGCCCGATCGCGTACTCGATTGAATCATTAATTAGTCTCGATCTTTTTTGATTAAGTTTCAAAGTGACAAGGACGAAAGAGAGAGAGAGAGAGAGAGAGAAAGGCGGCGAACCGATGCTTTTTTTTTCACCATAAGTATTTTAATGGGGTATGCCAAAATAGGAAGAACAATTAAAATGATTGGTGGAAAAAGAATTGAAAGGATTAATTGAAATAATAATAATAAATTAAATATTACGCGTATTCACAGTTGTGGAATGTTAATATATTAAAATAACGATAATAATAATATAATAATAATAATAATAAAAAAAGTATTAATTAGGTTTATGTTTGTGCGAGTATATAAAATAAAAACGATCCAACCGATCGAAGATTCTCGTTGCATACTGCGTTTGTGCATCATAACGTGCGTGCGTGTGTTGTTCTTTAGTATAGTCGAGGCATGAAAAAAAAAAAAAGTAATAAGAGAAAGAGAAAGATAATCTTTGGTGTTTGTGCGAATGAATGCGTGCGTGCGTGGCACGGTGAAAGGTTTTACGAAGGAAAGAAAGAGAAGGAGGGGGATGAGGGGGAGAAGGAACCCTCTCAGTGGATCGTTGCTCTGCAGTTCTTTCCCTCCCTTTCCCTCCTTTTGAAAAAAAAAAAAATATTTCGTCGTTGTCGTCGTTGTGTCGGAACACGTGAAAAGAACATAGGAATCGAGCCGAGTAGACACACACATCATCGTTTTAATAATTAATTATCGACGACTAGAACAATTTTCTACGCTCACAAGCTCGTTTAGAAACTAACGTAACAGCATAACACCAATAGAACGAGAGGAAACTAAAATTCTTTACCTGTATAAATATTATATTCGAGTTATTTTTATTTTCTTTTGTCGTTCACACACAAATATTATTTGTTGTTATTTTAATATTAATTACAATTGGGATAAAATTGGATATTTATAAAAAATAGAATATTTGATATCCTTGTTCGATCGTCACAGACACACACACACACACACACACACACATATTTCAGTATAACTGTATTGTTAAATACACGTAAATCGTTGTTGTTCTTGAATTTATAGAAAGACATATAAAAAATATCGTTCAGTTTTAAAACACAAGGACTCGTGTTTAAAAGTTTGCCTTTCGATTATATCTGATAAACACTTTAGTCACTCAATTAATTCATATATTACGGATGATATTATTATTATTATTATTATTATACTTATATATTTTTTTATTTTCCGATCATAATTAGTCACACACCAGTTAGGTAATTTGATTTTAAATTTAATACGATTATAGATTAACGAGTATGATTGAAATAAAAAAAGAAAAAGAAAAAGAAAAAGAAAAGGAAAAGGAAAAAGATTTTAATAATAAAATAAATTTGTGATCGACACATAAGTGCCCCGTGCACGCGTATTTCTTACATATTATACTTGTGCATGCATTCACACGTATACGCGTATGTGGGTTACACATATATTGAATATAATTTTATTCGGGCCACGTGCAGAAGAAATGCGTGCTTCATTAGTCACGATACGTCGAACCGTAAACGGCCGATCCGCTTATTAACGCTCGTATTAAATGCATTCGTTGCGGCCCGTCGCGAATCGCGTAAATTTTATTATTACGTATGAAGAATGAGGAGGAATTAAACTCGTCCCGAGTAGTTAAATGCAACACTGTGCGATAAACGATAATCAAGAGCGGTGTTATTTTTGTCTAGCGGTTTAAATTATACCCCAAGCAACTTGGTTGCTGGTGCTGCTTGTTGCTTGCTGTTTGCTGCTGCACCTCGTCGCATAATCTCGCGTCACGCCTAATAACTGCTTTTCATTTCTCCCTTGTCAGCTTGCTATTCGAAATTTTTACTAGTAAAAACCATCCTCTCATAATACCCGATAATAGTGAGAAACACATTTTCAAATAGAAATTTCTAATACGTAGTTCTACTTCTTAATCGTTTCATTTGCTTTTATTATTTTTCATTTTTCGTTTGTTTCTTTTATGATACAATACGAACTAAAAGTTTATTCAATTTTTTGTCTTATATCTCGACAAAACGGTTTCATCGTGTAATATTTTTTCTTGCATCGCGTCGAAGGTTTTAGTAGATTGTCGCAAAAACAATTTCCTAGATCTTGCGTTTAATTTTTTGCATTTATTTTTCTGTTTTTTTTTTTCTTCTTTGTATTTGTTTTTATAATACAGAACGAATCTCAAAAGTTTCTTCAATTTTGTTTTTTTACCTGACAATAAATATATGTTGTTCATAGCGTAATATTTTTACTTCGTTTCCCGTAAGAGTGTCCATCCGTCTAATAGATCGATAGCAAAAACAATTCACGATCTTGCCGTTTAATATTTGTAATATTTCTTTTGTATTATTTTCTTTTTTGTGTTGTTATTTGTATGTCACGCTCGGCGTCATCCTTAAAAGCTTGGTTTTTCTTTCTCTTTTTTTCACGTCGGCGACGTATCTCACCCAAATGTCAATAAAACGCGTTGGAATCCCATTATCTCGGTTGGACGCGAATTAATTTCGCGTTGTACCTTCGTACTTCCCTCCTCCCTCCCCCCCCGCAGCACCTCGTTTGAAAGCCGATTTCACGTGGCGAAGGACAGTTCTTCTTTTTTTTATTTTTTTTTATTTTATTTTAGGGCGATATTACGAAAAGGAAGAAGAAAAAGAAAAAGAAAAATAGATAATCTCGGAAAATGAATCGTCGTGCGTGATTTTTGTTGTTTGAGAATTATATATAATTGACTTTTAACCCTTTGAGTGTTATGGACGCATATATGCGTTTGATAAAAGTTGATATGCGTGTGTTTGTCAATGTGAATGTGAAATAATGTAATATTATTCTTGTATCTTGTCAGATGAAAATAATATTGTGAGAAAACCAAAATTGTAATTATTAAATATAATTCAATTAATATTAGCATCTGTGGTGACATTAATAATAAACTATATATATATAATCAGGTTTTTATTGCACAACTTACAAAGTTTTTTACAATGTCTTATCATTACTTTATTTATATTTATCTCACAATTTTTGATTCATGCTCAATTCACCAGCCCTCCGCTAAGAATATTTATCAATATTAATAATAAACTATTTTATTCATATAAAACACTCTTCAGTTAAAAGTCTTCAACATTCAAAGGATTAAAATAATCTCTGAAATGAATTAATCGTACACACACACGCACACACACACACACCAATATATATCTAAATCCATTTGTGAAAAATCCGAACAATATTATGAAAATATTAACAATATCTATTTTTATTATTATTGTTACAGCACTCAAACAACGTTAGAAAATCAGCAGCGGAATACGTGGCACGACGACAAGCGAGAAAAATTAGTATGACGCGTTCTATAACATCGTCATTGGCATTACCTATGTCCCAATTGAGTGACGTGGCATTTTTGCCAAATGCAAAAGCGGGAACATTCTTTGCACGGGACAACGTGTCGAATTTTATCGGTTGGTGCCGAAACAGTCTTGGTATCATCGAGTGTTTACTATTTGAAACGGATGATCTGATAATGCGTAAAAATGAGAGACACGTTATATTGTGTTTGCTTGAGGTTGCAAGACGCGGGGCTAAATTTGGTATGCTAGCACCAATGTTGGTGCAAATGGAAAGACAAATCGATCGAGAAATCGCTGCTGAAAACAAAGCTGCCAATGGTACCCAAACTAATGGTCATTCGAACGAGGACAGCGACGACGAGTATTCCGACATGCATCAGGAAGAACCTTGTCTCATTTACGGTCCGCAACCACAGATTGTTACCAACGATCTCAAAAGTCTCGACGAAATGGTAAATCATCTTTTTTATTTACTTAACAATCGTTTTGTTATATACTAATGCATGATCTCTTACTATACGTTTCGGTAATTATCTAATTGGATATAAAGTACAGAGACAATCGAATTTATTTATTTTTTTATTAAATTTTGTAGATTGTAATGGTATATTCTTGCTAATTTTTTCAACGAAAAGGTAGATCATCCTTTTTATTTCCCTTTTTTTTCAATTCGCAACAATCGTTTTGTTATATACTAATGCATGATTTCTTATTATACGTTCCGGTAATTATCTAATTGGATAAAAAATACAAAGACAATCGAATCAATTTATTTTCTATTTCAATTATATTTAGATTGTAATGGTATATTTTTTGCCAATTTTTTTTTTCACGAAGATCTGAAGAATATATATTTTAATATTGTTTTCATTTATATATATTTTATTTTTACAATAAGTACGCGAAATATAAAACGGCGTAGATGTATTATCGTAATAAGCGAGGACGCGATGCAAATTCGAATGAGTATTTCTATATAAATCATTTTGATATTATCACGCGTTTTTCGTCAAAAAACTAACTGTTTATGCTATACATGGGAACGAACAAAGTACGCTCATAAAAAGGAGAAATACGAGCAACTATAAAATCGATTTTTCTTTTTATATGCTTTTTAGTGCAATGCTTCTTTGTTTACTTTTGATATTTTTTATTTGTTTTTTTTTGTATTTTTTGTTTTCTTTTTTTTTTTCGGTAAAAAGGACGTCTGTATTCTCGACTGCGAAAATAACTCTTGCCCTTACAAGCGTATCGGAGTTATATTTATGGCGTTGCATCGCAGTTCGCCATTAATATCTCGAGATCGGGGAATAAGAGAGAAAGAAAGAGATAGAACGCGTTTATACTTAACGTGTTTCTTTTTAGCGTTGAATGGCAAAGCGGCGGGATATGAGTTGAAGTGGGAGGGGTGGAAGGGAAGAATGGCTGTTTTTAAACAACAACCCTTTTCCTACTCGGTATCCGTTAACGAGTATTTTACTCCCTTTTGTCTTACCAATGCTGCCATGCAACCATTCTCACGATACAATTTCTTTTTTTAATAGTTTAGTTAAAAGTCTCGACTTTTCGTCGTTCCACGCGATTTGCCTAATTTTCATCCCTTTTTTCATCTTTTAATCTTCGTCATTAAATATAATTTGTTTAACGAAAATTCTCTTACAATTAGTAACAATAATCATTTGAATAATTATACGAACACATTTGTTATTCAACATTTTGTTATTAGTTTTAAATGTTATCGATTCGTAGATCGAGTTCAATGATTTACGATCTATTAATTTGCAATAAATTTTCTTTTAAAAACCGGTAATCAGTCATTGCTAGTAATTCCTCGGCATTACTATGAATGCAAAGAGCCTTCAGAAGAAGTCGGAAATAAAACATTTTGGAGAGTTTTTCCCGAGGCATCGAACATAATACTTTGAAATACTATAGAATATCAAATTACTATTTAAACAACGTTGAAAATAATACATCCTCGGGACAGGCACACACAGCCATACTCAACCCTTCCCCCCCCCCCCCCAAAACAACCCATACAGGTAAACAACATTTCGTTCTAAACTTGTGTATCTTCCGATACGATAGGGAACAAAAGATACAGATTTTCATGGAAATCTCTATGAATATCTGTCTAACTAATGTCTAGAAAATATAGTCTGAACCTTTGCAAATCGATTTATAACTCGATATGGTATTCTACACGTAGATGAAAGAGTGTACTTTAATTTAATATAAGTTTAATTAAAATCTATTCACTCTTAGTATAAAAAATATTTACCAAAACTTTTCAAAGAAATGGTAAAGATGCAGAATTTACAGCATTGCATTCTATAACATTTTTTGAACTTTTTATGCTAAATTTATAACTCGATATGGTATTCTACGCGTAGACAATAGAGTGTACTTTAATTTAATATAAGTGTCATTAAAATCTATTCACTTTTAGTATAAAAAATATTTAGCAAAACTTTTCAAAGAAATAGTAAAGTTGTACAATTTATAGCATTGCACAGTCTCTTATATTTCTTTGAAAAGGTTGCATATGGCTGTGTGTGTCTGTGCCCGAGAATGTATTCTTTTCAACGTTTTTTAAATAATAATTTGATATTCCATAGAATATCAAAGTATTATGTTCAATGCTTAGGAAAAACTGTAAGAATTCTTCTGTTTTCAACTTCATCGGAATGCTCTTTGCATTGATGAGAATGCTGAGGACTTACTAGCAATGGCGGATTTCCGGCTTTGACGGAAACATATATATATATATATTAATAATCAATCGCACGAGAGAATAAAAATAATGAAACTAAACCAAAGCAAGAAAAACCCTCGGAACAATTTTATAATTATATATGAGTTTCAAAGGGAAAATTGAAGACAGTTAATAAATTTTGATGAACAAATTTATTTGATCTTGTTGAACGTTTCGTCCCTTACTGGGGACTTCCTCAGCAACTCGATCACCTAGTTCACGCGTCAATACATATTATTTTAGAGTCAT